ATCCCATATCAGAGTTAGAGTCATATATGGATCTAGGGCACTTCCCAAACATTACGGCGACCCATCATTCGTCGGCTGAGCCTCTAGCATCCCGTATCAGAATCAAAGTCACATATCACATATTTGTAACACTAGGATCCTGTGCCAGAACCAGAACCAGGATCAGGATCAGAATCACATATATCACATCATTGGGCCTACGGCACTCCTCGCACGCTACGGTGACACACCGTCTGTTGGCTGAGTCCCTGGCACCTCGTATCAAAACTAGAATCACATAAAACTCCTGATAGATTAACTTTTAAAAAAACACATGTATCACTAAGGCAGGTATGTAATCAATTACAGAAATAATTTCAAACTTATCATACTTTAAAACAGATAAATCCATATCCCGGAAGTAATACCATAGTTCAGAAATCAAAACACATAAACTAACAGAAAATCGAAATGCAAACACATGTACAGAGAGTACTGTCACTCACTGGACACGTCAAAACCGAAAACTGAGACTTTGACAAACGGCTCACGAATCAAAGCGTACCTCCTCAGGTGTATCTACAAAGCACCGATTCACAAGTTAGAATCAAAATCAAAATTCTCTTTAAAAGACTCAACTCCCGAAAGTGGCCCAGAACCCTCCCCTTATCCAAGCCTTAACATGCATCTCGAGACCCTCCGATATAACCCTATCCAACTCTAATTCATACTTAAAGCCAAAACATAATCTCATGCTTAACAAAAATTTGTAAATCAGGACAAACCGATTTCCAAAACTATCAAATCGGCTCGAACTAGCTCAAATACTTCACAACCGAATCGGTACTGCCATGAATCCCTCAAACCAACCTGAACCGGACCAACATCCCACTAAATCAGGTTGAATCGGGCCCCATTTCCCATGAACCAAGCCAAACCGGGCTCAAATCCCCATAAACTAAGGTGAACTGGGCTGAACCAGACTTCAATCCACATGAACCGATTTCAAACTAGGAAGAACCGAACTAAACCGGCCCAAATTCCCATAGAAACACACTAAACTGGGCCCACTTGTCCCTGAACCGGGCTGAAATGAGCCTAACCCTTATAAATCAACTAAATTGGCTACATTTCCTCATGAACTGGGATGAACCTGCTTCAAATCACCTAGAACCGAGCTTGCGTGGCACAGAACCGGAATGAGTCTACTTCAAAAACCACCATTCTTGCCTGAACCGGCCACCACAAGCCTTGAACCAACCTTCTAACCCTAAAACTAGTTGGTCCACTCACCCTTTCCCCAAAATAACACTAAACCAAGACCCTCTAAACCCCAATCCTGATTTAACCCAGTAGTGCACTACATACAAGACTGGGAACCAGTCCACTCCTCCCCAGCCAGACCCCCTCAACCCTTGAACCGATCGGTTCTAGCCTAGTTGGGCTGAATTGGCCTCATCAGCTCAGGACAAACCCGAGCAGCATGCAGGTTTGTTTTCTCTACCTGGGAACCCGGGTTTCAGACCCGGTTCCCTGCACACAGAACCCGACTTCCATTCTTAAAATTTGAGCATAATCGAGCTTACCTGGATCGATTAGCTGCTAGGGGATGAAGAATCAAAAGCCCTAGAGTGGATTCCAAGCTCAAATCACAACTTGAACTCTCAAAATTGATCGATTTCTTCCTGAAACCTCTCGGACCCCGTCGGCTCCCTGAACACCTTCCCAACCTTTTTTCTACCCCTCTTTCTCTCTTAACTCTAATTGATCAAGATATTTCGTCCTGCCAGCACTGAATCCCACGTTTACATCATCCAAACCAGTTGGTTTCTCCAGATTAGACCAGATTCAGCCGGTTACCCATCAGTCTGGGACCGGCTAAAACTTCTCAACCCGTCACGATCCAATCCCCCAAAGTTACATTTCCTACAATTAAGCCCTTCTAAAATTGCAACTCGACCCCCAGACTCACGCGCCTTCCCATTTCAGTCCTCTTGCATTTCTTTCTTCTATTTCAACCCCAAATAAATTCTAATTTAGACCCAAACTCTTCCAGATTTAGCAGAAATGCCCCAAGTCATTTAATTTCTATAGGTAGCCCCTTCCCAATTCTTAATTTGGTCCCTAAACACTTAATTTATTCACTAACACCCCTGGTCCTTTAAATTTACAAATCTCCTCAATAAAAAAAGAAATTTAGGGACATTACGTCACAGTTCTAACAAAAACAGAAGAAGCTATACTTTTAACAAATAGTAAAATTAGTGATCTTCTTAGACAGCAAGATCCAATGGATATCAAACTCCAAATTTGAAAAGTATAAAAGGGTGAAGCGATAGACCTAGTAAATAATAACCTACATTTATGAGAACAAGGGACAGATATAACATGTATATAAAACTTCACAATTAACAAATTTATCGTCATATAAAATTTTAGGGAGCTCGTGATCAAAAATGAAATAGAAATCAGAAAGCAATCTCATAATCAGTCAATAGCAAAAATCAGAAGGCAGCATCTTGGTGTGACCATATACACATATACACATATACAAGTCTCCCATGTCAGCCCAATATAAGAGCCTAGCATCACCCCTGCCAGATGAGGATACTGTACAGAGTGCACTCAATCTAACGATTATTGTCATTAGCTACATCATTCTAAAATCTGAAATTTTCTTAAAACTGTTTTCCAAAAATAAAGAGAAATAGTTTAACAGAATTTTCTATTTACCGATATAAACAGAATCGAATGTAAATAATAAATAGTATTTTCAAAATAATTTCAAAATTACATACATGTCCCTTATTATGCTTTTATAACAAAATTTAATTCAATTTTCAAAAATTAAGTATATCATATAAAATCAGAATTTATACCATATATGAAAAACAGTAAATGTTCATAAATGCACATTATTACTCACAAAACAAGTTGGAATCAAATGGTTCGATCTTTGAAAGTATGGGCTCAACGAAAAAGTTCTACAGAATCTAAAATCACAAAAGTGATAATATTTCCAAATTAGAATCCTGAAATATTAAGAGTTTGATTTATTCTAAAAACTTTTAATCAAACCCATTTGTGATAATTTAAATCCAAATTCAAGTTTAGATCCTAAGTCTAAAATCCAAATCCAGAATTAATATTTCTATATTTTTATTTATTTACTTTTCTTAAAGAGAAATCTAGCTTCATATTTGGATTCTAAAATCTAAATCCAAATCCAAGGACTCAATCAAAATTAGAATTCTAATACACGACCAATTTCGTCATATTGTTGTTGTGTCATTATTATTGTTATTGTTGTTGTTGTTATTATCATTATTTTTATTGTTGTTATTATTATTTTAAAGGCTCAAGTCCTTAGTTAGAATCCAATTCAAATCTACTGATTCAGATCCATTATTTAAATCTATATAAAAATCTAAATTTAGAACTAAGTTTAGATCTCGATATCTAGATGTAAAGCTCAATTCACTGTCCAGATTCAAAATACAAGTTTTTGCAAACAAAATAAAAAAAAGGTCAGAAACTCAATTCTAAATCCAGATCCATATTTATTACCCAATCCCTTGGGTCCAATATCACAATCCCAAAACAAATCAAACCTATGTTCTCAATTACAATTCTATTTCTATTAGATCTAGACCTATAATCCCAAAACCATCTTAAAATTCTTGAACCGCAACCCAAAACCATTATTCAAATCCAATATGTAATCTATATTACAATCCAACACCTAACCTATTTTCACATAACCAGAATTGAATCCAAAATCCAAACCCAAACCCAAACCCAATTTGTACCTAATTAACTGGGTTATCTTCTTGCTTCCTTTGTCAAGTGAATCTTGCAGTAAAGTAAGCTTCCAAGTTTGCAATGCTAACTCCCGATACTAAAGAGAAACAAGATGAACGCTTTACTTTCGTTGAATGAATAAAAACGAAATTAGAAAGGACTATGATGCTTGCAATAGCGACAGAGAAAGCGACGAAAATTGGTAACTGTGTCTTGACAATTTCTCCCAAAACTAAAGACGATCATGTGAAATTAAATGAGAAATCTTGTTCTAATAGCTCATATTGACGTGGTTGTATGCTTAAGTTGGGATTAAATTGCATAAACTTAAAAATTTAATAGGATTGCAATTAAGATTTTGAATAAGAAAATAGGGATAATGATCAAATACAAGTTATTGTGTGATTGATTTAAAATCAAATTGCATAAATTTAGAGTATTTGATAGGATTGTAATTAGAGTTTTGGACAAAGAAATGGGATTAATGATCAAATCCAGATTTAAAAAATTTTCAATTAGGTCTCTCAATTCCTGATTACATATGACTTAGTCCTTGACTCTTTCTGATTCTTTCTATCTAGGCCTGTAAAATTTAAATTAAATCAATTGCACCCTCTAATCCTTTAATTAAGTCCCTAAATTTCTATTCCTATCAATTAAATCCCTAAATTATCAAAAAATTTTAATTGACCCCAATTTCGTATTACAAAAATAACAGTCCGAGAGCCTAGCCATGACAAATCTCTGTAAAAACCAGCGTTTGTTTTTCATAACCGTTTTCTTGAATAAGTTTTAGAAAACATGTAAGTCGTTAGAGAACATTGTTTTTCCAGAATTCTCGGAAAGGAAACTCGTTTTCAAATGAAAATGGATAAAAAAATAATATATGTTTCAAAATTTCAATATTTTCTATTTCTGTAAAAAAATAAAATAAAAGTTTTTCCATTTCTGGAAAAAAAGCTCAAATCTTTATAATATCAGATTTATTTTAAAAAATGAATTTTTAGTTAATTATAAGTGAGATTTTTGTTTATTTATTTATTAAAATAAATCCAAAAGAAACGGTTTTCTAGGGAACCAAGCAGCTCTACGAATCCAACAAGAGAGCACAAGCCTTGATATGCCTTGATGGATAACAAGTAGCAGGGATGCGAGAACAGAAGAAGAGGAAGTGACTAATCAATCATTCCCTTAATACAGTCTAAAAGTGTCTTTAACAGTTAGAAATTAATTAGTGATGAACTCAGAGGAAAGAAAACAGAGTTTTCCCTTTCAGGAGCAGTCAATGAACAGAGCCTCCCAAATCTCTGTAAACACTTCAACAATAATCCTGTGATGATGATAAGAGTTGAGAGCCAGAAACGTCTGCAAAGTTGCTCAAGCTCACAGGCGCTCAAAATCTGCTTCTGAACGATCATCTCCAGCATCGAAGTTCTGAAATCGTTGTAAGGATCGCTCGAACGCTTCACCACCGCAAAGCTATCCTTTAATTTCCCCTGCAAATGTGGCATTTTACCTCTCCGTGAATGATGATGACTTGCTTTTGAAGAAGACTCAGAAGAAACAGAGGACAGAGACTTGGAAGAGAAGAGGGTCGTTTCGCTCACGGTTTCTTCGTCGTCGTCATCTTCGCTGCTGACACCGTCGTAGTAACTGTCGAAACTGTCCTTCGTCATGAATTGAGTTGGCTTCTTCTTCTTCTTTTTCCCCTTTTTCCCCTGTTTTATGTCTCTGGAATTTGATTCTGAGGTTTGGGGGTTGAGAGGGGATATGGGGGAACCCGGAGGGCATACTGGGGAGAGAAGAGAGCATGGATTTGATGGTTTGTGGGTCGTAAAGGGGTGTGGCTCGAGGTATTTGGATTTACAAATGGAAGGGAAAGGGTAAGGCCTGGGAGAGAATAGGTCGATCAATTGGTGGTGGCGGTGGTGGTGGCGGCGGCTCCGGTTATGTGGTGGCTCGACGACGTCGGAAAGATTTCGGGGCTTGCAAGACCCAAATGACGATCGGAACATGCGGGTGATTTGCTGCATCACTCGCTTCTGGTTCTGTTTCTCCATTTTAGGTAGGTAGGTCGGTAGGGAGAGAGAGAGAGAGAGAGAGAGAGAGAGAGAGAGTTTGAAGAAGAAGGTAACCAAGTTCATAACATGATATATTTGAGAGAGGGAGAGGGGATGGCGGACTTGGACAAGTAGTGGTTTAAAGAAACGAGAAACTCAGGAGTCTCGAACTTCTGATTTTGATATTGTGAGAAGTCTATCAAACTTGGCTTCTCTGCTACGTTTCGTCTTCTTCTTTCTCCCGTTAAAAATACTGCCTCCATCAGCAAGATTTACACACGCGCCACAAAAGTCGTTTAAAATGCACGCACCATCATTTAAAAAAATAATACTAGATATTAATGAAGCAGTTAACACTAAATTATATATATGGTTGTTTTATTAATTCATATTATCATTTTCATAAAATGTAATAGAGTGTTAATTAACTTAAATTATAATTATTTATTAAATTATACAATTTTAGTAATTAGTATTATTTTATTATTATTTCGCTAATCCAAATACAATGACAAAAGGTACAACCTAGAAACTCACAAATCCCACACATAACCCTTAAAAAAAAAAAAAAAAAAAAAAAAAAAAAAAAAAAAAAAGAAGAAGAAGAAGAAGAAGAAGAAGAAGAAGAAAAGAAGAAGAAGATACAATGAGTAAGGATGGTGTTCTTTAGCTAGTTTGACCTACCTTGCTGGCCAATTTGCAAGAAACCAAAGTTGTATATGCTGAGTTTTTCAAATTCCATAAAAAATAAAAAAATAAATTAATTAATCTTACTATGCTAATGGTATATTCTAATTTAGTCATACGCTACAATATTTTTTTTAATTCCAAATTTCAAACTCGGCTAATTAATTTGTAGGTTTAATTAATTAGTTCTAGCCAAGCCAACTATTTATTTATTTACTTGTGTAAAAAAATTAAATGTAAGACATAACCCAGATAAACTATTGTTTGGTCATTCTCTAACAAATTCTTTGAGATGGCATTATTTTCACCCGATATTTGGAAATGATAGATTTGAGAGCTAAGCCAGTTTGACTTGAGGAAATGTTTTCCATTTTCTGTTTTTATTTTTTAAAATTATTTTTAAAATTTTTAAAATTTAGAAAATATGTTCAATTTCATTTTGGTATTTTCTATGTTTAAGAAATGGTTTAAAATTTTTAATATATGTTTCTATTTCCAATATATTTTTAGAGAAACGTTAAATAAATTTTTTTTTTGTGATTTTCAATTTTCAACTCATTTTTTAGAAAGTAATTTCGATGAAAATAGAAAATATATAAATTAAAAGCATTTTCAATATTGTTTTTTATTTCATTAAAAATAAAAATAGAAATTACACAAATCAAGCGAGTCCTCATTTTTTAATTTTTTTTTTATTTTTTGAGAGAAGATATTTGAGAATTAAGCTATTTATTTAATTACTAGGGAATTCTTTTGAGGAAAATGGGGATCAGATGGTTAGGTATTTTAATTCCACCACAAACACATATAGTCAGTAAATTCCCACCAACCATATTTGAGTGGCATAAAAAGAAGGTAAGGATGGTGACCCTAGGAAATTTAAGTCAGGTATCCATGGAATTTAAATTCAAACATACAATATGATTTTTACTTTTATAATTTCCTTATACCCAGAAAAAATTATTTAAATAAAAAAGGAGGGGAGGATGGACTTTGGGTTCCAGAAAGAAAGCTAACTGATTAATTAATTACTGAATAAAATAATCAGAGCAGCAGGGTTGGTTCAACTATTAGGACCCGGCCCCCCTTTACAAAGACTCTTTTGGCACTGACGTTCTCTTAAATAACTGAGCAATTGAGAATTTACAACGCTCGATGTCTAAGTTTGGGGATTTAATATTTAATATGGTGACACAAATAATATAAATTTAGGATATCTCCATTTCCCATTTGTTGGTGGATGTCAACGATAACGGTATTGGACATTCCTACAATCCATTTGGGATATTCACACCTCATTTTAATGATTTTTTTTATATTTTTTGAAAAATATTATAATGATTAAAAATAAAATATTTAAATTTGAGATCATCACTTTAATGATGAAATTTTCTCTCCTTAAACCAATTTAATCTAGCAAAAATCATATGAAATTAGTTAATATATAACAATCTAATTAACAAATTTATCATCATTTTATTTGATAATAACATTCACAACTCTATAATCATTTTATTTATCAATTATCCCATCGGAATACAAATTATTTATTTATATTTGTTACTCTTTTAAAAGTATAAATAATATATTGTCTGTAAACAAAATTAAAATATCAGATTTGTTTTCTACATATTTTAAATGGTAATTGTAAAATAAGATTTCTTATCATTAGGGCTTCCAATAGAAATTTATTTTATTGCATATAAATATAAAGTTAATTTTTAAATATCAATTTCATCGAATAAATCTATTAATTTAAATTTAAATACTATTTTTAAGAATAGATAAAATAATATTCTTATTTGAAAAATTTTCTCACACACTGCTAATATAGTATATGTAAAAACATTTTTCCACTCGATGAGAAATGATATGGATGAAACTTGGAAGAATTTCTTGACGGGGTAATCTATTTCTATCATGTATTTGTATACATAATACTAGCTCAACACAAACATAATCTTCATGTTATATGAATATTCATGCACGATCTATTATATATTGATTTTTCACTAAATATCTTTTTTTACATACTAATATTGAAGCCAAGAAAAACTAATTGCATGAAAATATTAAAATATTCCAACAACACACGGTTTGACTAACAAAAAGAAAATTATTCTTTAGAGCAATTCGAGAATTATTAAAAAAATTAATAAATTATTTAATGATTTGTTTTTATAATTTTAATATAATTATTTTTTAAGTTTATTTTATTTAAAGTCACTTTTTAAATGTATTTTAAAATTTATTTTATTTAAATATGTTATAAAATGATGTTTAAAAGTTTTGAAAAAAATACGAGGAAAAAGTTACTTTCGTTATTCACCTTTAATTATAATTACAAAATCATCTCATTAATTGTTAAAAATTGAATATCACATGAACAATTTTGCAATTGAATTAACATGTGAAAGACGAGAATAACTTTTTTCGTAAAGTACTTGTGCCCTTCTACTCGCACAAGTCACAAGCGCTTCGAACTCATAAATTGTGGTTCGCATTCTCGTTTACAATTTCAAATTGAATAAGTTGTGGCTCGTTCCTACAAGTAGCTTGGTTGAAATATGTTTGAGTGGGACAAGGATAAGCGGTTGTTGAACAATCAAATTTTCGAAATTTCTTTTTTCTTCTTGACAAACACGGCCTTACCATGTTTGCTTTGTCATCCCTTACACTGGTAGACAAGAAAAAGAAAACCAAATATTTATCTAATATTTCTTTTTCTCAAGAAAAAGCTGCCTTGTCAATTTTTTCAACATCAGCATTTTGAAAATAGGAAAATGATATTTGGGCCCACTCGGCCTCACAAGGCACCATATATTATGATGTATCTCACGTGATTTTTTACACTTGTGAGCTGTTTGGCCATGGCCAAATCCGCCTTACTAGTGTTGCTTCCTTGAGAAATTGTATTTCAATTTTTTTTAAGCAGTAAGGTTGTCTTTTTATAATAAATAAAGGTCATGAATTTAAGTATTGAAATCGCTAATTTGCACTTTGCACCCTTAATATATAAGGTTTTGACGTTTTGTACCATAAAATTTTAAGTTTAGCACTTTGCATCCTAAAAGTAAAGATTTTTAGCACTTTACACTCTAAAATTTTAAATTTAACCTCAAAACCTCCTAAAATTATAAAAAGTGTACCATATATTTGATTACTCATTAAAATTAAGAGTAAATTTAGAATTTCATGTAAATGAAGAGTAAAAAGATCATAAAGGACTTACACCCTTCAATTTTGTTATTTCCACCCTATTTAATAAACTTTCACTCAATTTATACATATATTAATGGCATACAAAAGATTAAAAAATTTAGTACTGTTCAAAATTTTAAAATTTTAAAACTAAAAATAAAGTTTTGATAAAAAATATAAAAAAAATTTGAAGGACTATTTTAGTTCTTAATTTGTTTTGATATTTTATACAAAAATAATTATTTGAAGTAGCTATTGTAATTCTTAATTTGTCTAATATTTTACATAGAAATAATTATTAGTTCTTAATTTATAACAAATTAGGATTTTTAGTTTTTAAATTAAGAACTAAAATAACCACTTCAAATATTTATCAAACTTTTATTTTTAGTTTTAAATTTGAATATGTAGAAAATTTATGATCCATGTGTATTTGAAGAAGTTAGTTTACTTGATTTAGATTCAAATCAGAAACATTAATTTTGAAGTAGCTATTATAGTTCTTAATTTATCTAATATTTTATACATAAATAATTATTAGTTCTTAATTTGTAACAAATTAAGATTTTTAGTTTTTAAATCAAGAACTAAAATAGCCACTTCAAATATTTTTTTATATTTTTTATCAAAATTTTATTTTTAGTTTTAAAATTTTAAATTTTTGGACAGTACTAAATTTTTTAATCTTTTACATGCCATTAATGTGTATATAAATTGAGTGGAAGTTTATTAAATAGAGTGAAAATAACAAAAAATGAAGGGTTCATGTCTTTTATAATATTTTTACTCTTCATTTACTTGAAATTCTAAATTTTTTTTTAGTTTTAATGAGCAATCAAATATATGGTACATTTTTTGGAATTTTGGAAGGTTCTTAGGCTAAATTAAAATTTTGGGTGCAAAATGTCGTGGGGTGCAATGTGCCAAATTTAAAATTTTAGAGGTACAAAGTACCAAAACTCCCTATTTTTGGGTACAAAGTGCAAATCAGTCACATTGAAATAATTTTTTTTTTCTTTTTTTGTTGAACAAGATTAAGGTTATGTATTTTAGAACTTACATAATTT